GGGAAAAGCCGGAATCGGGAAAAGCCGGAACTGGGAAAAGCCGGAATTGGGAAAAGCCGGAATTGGGAAAAGCCGGAACTGGGAAAAGCGGGAATTGGGAAAAGCCGGAATTGGGAAAAGCCGGAATTGGGAAAAGCCGGAACTGGGAAAACCGGGAATTCCGCCTCATTCCCGCCTGGAATGTTCGGAATCCGCCCGGGCTCAGGAGGGGGAGGGGAGGGAAATGGGGATAAATCCGTTCCCGGAGGGGATTTTTGGGATAAATCCGTTCCCAGAGGGGATTTTTAGGAATCCATTCCCAGAGGAATTTAGGGATAAATCCATTCCGTGAAGAATTTAGGGATAAATCCATTCCCAGAGGGAATTCTTTGGGATTCCATTCCCAGAGGGAATTTAGGGATGAATCCATTCCCAGAGGAATTTAGGGATGAATCCATTCCTTGAAGAATTTTGGGATAAATCCATTCCCTGTGAGGATTTTTGGGATAAATCCATTCCCTGTGAGGATTTTTGGGATAAATCCATTCCCTGTGAGGATTTTTGGGATAAATCCATTCCCAGAGGGGATTTTTGGGATAAATCCATTCCCTGTGAGGATTTTTGGGATAAATCCATTCCCTGTGAGGATTTTTGGGATAAATCCATTCCCTGTGAGGATTTTTGGGATAAATCCATTCCCAGAGGGGATTTTTGGGATTAATCCATTCCCAGAGGATTTTTGGGATAAATCCATTCCGAGAGGATTTTTGGGATAAATCCATTCCCTGTGAGGATTTTTGGGATAAATCCATTCCCAGAGGATTTTTGGGATAAATCCATTCCCTGTGAGGATTTTTGGGATAAATCCATTCCCTGTGAGGATTTTTGGGATAAATCCATTCCCTGTGAGGATTTTTGGGATAAATCCATTCCCTGTGAGGATTTTTGGGATAAATCCATTCCCTGTGAGGATTTTTGGGATAAATCCATTCCCTGTGAGGATTTTTGGGATAAATCCATTCCCTGTGAGGATTTTTGGGATAAATCCATTCCCTGTGAGGATTTTTGGGATAAATCCATTCCCTGTGAGGATTTTTGGGATAAATCCATTCCCTGTGAGGATTTTTGGGATAAATCCATTCCCTGTGAGGATTTTTGGGATAAATCCATTCCCTGTGAGGATTTTTGGGATAAATCCATTCCCTGTGAGGATTTTTGGGATAAATCCATTCCCTGTGAGGATTTTTGGGATAAATCCATTCCCAGAGGGGATTTTTGGGATAAATCCATTCCCAGAGGGGATTTTTGGGATAAATCCATTCCCTGTGAGGATTTTTGGGATAAATCCATTCCCAGAGATTTTTTGGGATCCATTTTCCCCCCTGGATTCCTGGGAAACATTTCCCCTAAATAAACCCATTCATTAATCCCATTAAATCCATTCATTAATTCCATTAAACCCATTAATTCATTCTATTAAACCCATTCATTACTCCCATTAAATCCTTTAATTAATCCCATTAAACCCATTAATTCATTCTATTAAACCCATTCATTAATTCCATTAAATCCATTAATCCCATTAAACCCATTAATTCATTCTATTAAACCCATTCATTAATTCCGATAAACCCATTCATTAATCCCATTAAATCCATTCATTAATTCCATTAAATCCTTTAATTAATTCCATTAAACCCATTCATTAATCCCATTAAATCCATTCATTAATTTCATTAAACCCATTAATTCCATTAAATCCATTCATTAATTCCAATAAACCCATTCATTAATTCCATTAAACCCATTAATTAATTCCAATAAACCCATTCATTAATTCCATTAAATCCATTCATTAATTCCATTAAACCCCTTCATTAATTCCATTAAACCCATGAATTAGTTCCATTAAATCCATTCATTAATTCCATTAAACCCATTCATTAATTCCATTAATTCCTTTAATTAATCCCATTAAATCCCTTCATTAATTCCATTAAACCCATTCATTAATTCCAATAAACCCATTCATTAATTCCATTAAGCCCATTCATTAAATTCCATTAAACCCATTCATTAATTCCATTAAACCTATTCACTAATTCCAATAAATCCATTGATTAATCTCATTAAATCCTTTCATTAATCCCATTACACCCATTCATTAATTCCATTAAACCCATTCATTAATTCCATTAAACCCATTCATTAATTCCATTAAATTCCTTCATTAATCCCATTAAATCCATTCATTAATTCCAATAAATCCATTCATTAATTCCATTAAACCCATTCATTAATTCCATTAAACCCTTTCATTAATTCTATTAAACCCATTCATTAATTCCAATAAACCCCTTAATTAATTCCATTAAACCCGTTCATTAATTCTATTAAACCCATTCATTAATTCCAATAAACCCCTTAATTAATTCCATTAAACCCGTTCATTAATCCCATTAAATCCCTTCATTAATTCCAATAAACCCCTTCATTAATCCCGTTAAACCCATTAATTAATTCCATTAAACCCATTAAGTAATTCCAATAAACCCCTTCATTAATTCCAATAAACCCCTTCATTAATCCCGTTAAACCCATTAATTAATTCCATTAAACCCATTCATTAATTCCAATAAATCAAGTAATTAATCCCATTAAACCCATTCATTAATTCCAATAAATCAAGTAATTAATCCCATTAAACCCATTCATTAATTCCAATAAATCCAATAATTAATCCCATTCTACCCATTCATTAACCCATCAAATCCAACGCATTAATTAAATTTCCCAGGACAAACAGAAAAATCCAGGAATCCATTCCCAAATCCCCATTTCCCCTCCCCAAAATCCCCGGAATTTTGGGATTCCTTCCCAATTTTTCCCCGTTTTCCCACCCATCCTTAAAAAAACCGGGGAGAAGGGCCCCGGATCCGGGGCTTTTTCCGGAATTTTCCATGGAAAAGTGACGCTGTTGTCTCGTTGCAGTTGACATGGATGATGAAGACGGCCGGTGCCTGTTAGATGTCATCTGGTGAGTCCGGAATTCCCGGAATTCCGGCCGGGAAACGGCTGGAAAAGCGGGAAAGACGCAAAAAAAGGGGGGGAAAAACCTAAAAAATTGGGAATTGTGAAAAAAAAACCAAAAAAAATTGGGAATTGTGATGGAAAACCCCCAAAAATTGGGAATTGTGGAGGGAAAACACCCAGAAAAGTGGGT